CATGTTGAACTTTAAGTGCTAACCATAGAAGACTTCACTACTTTCTTTTTCAAATCTAACTGGATAATAGCATTAGGTAACCTGTATCAATTATAGTTCCAGACATTGTGATAAATAATGATGAAAATAACCTTGAAATATAGGTAATATTATCTCCATGAGGGAACCAAAGGACAAAGAGGTTAAGAAATACTTCCAACCAACCTGCCAAAATGGAAGTGGGATTCAGGCCCAGAGCTTTCTCATTTCCACACGAACATCTTACGATTTGTGCATACCGCCTTATCTAGCCTATTGATAGGAATGAAAGCTTTATTTGAAATCCTTAGAAAACCACGCTGGTATTTTTTATCTTGGAAACTTTGAATTTAACTCTTCCTATAAAGTGAGCTTAAATGATAATCAGTTAACTGAAATATTGATGTGCCATGTACTTCAATTCATGTAGAGAAAATGCTTTTGTTTCCCTCTTGACTCCCACCTTTACTGTATAAACAACCTCCTTTCTTTCTTTCCATTCGTCTGTTACTTTCTTTCCAAACCACTCACGGGATTGGCATTAAGCTCCTAAATTTCGTCACCTCCTCAGGTCTCTAATAAAGCTATATGGACAAAAGTAGGTTTATAGTTGTTTGTGTGGCAAAAGACATGCAGGTTAGGATTATTGCAATAGCTTTATTAACTCAAAAGAATGTCACTCACAACTGTAGTCCTTACTATTGCCCACCCTGGTATAATAAGCCATGTACACATCTACTGTAGTAGATATTGCAAGTTATTTAAGGAAAGGAGAGAGATTGGCAAATTATTTCATCCTGCCTTCTTTTGTCTCATTAATTAATTAAATTGAATGTTAATTAAAGCATGTTGTTAGTGTGACTGACTTTGCTAAAATATTATACTTAAAGTTCTTTGAGACTCATGCTTAAATTTATGCATGCTTAAACTAAGGTAGCGCACTATATGTTGATCACTCTGAGTGTGCAATATTTCCAATGTATTTGGTGAAAAGAAACAAGAGTATGATTTTCAGAATGCCAGAGAAGGCACTAAGACAGCTAAGCATTTCCAGCTTGTGGGAAAAATATTAATTACATTATCTGTTCTTGAAAGAGCACTGCTTAGAACAAAATTCAGGAGAATCAGAATTTAGTCTGTAATCCATGCATATAAACTTGATTCTCTAAGACAATAAACTCAGGACATTTATCAGTAGATAACTGAGGGGCAAACGCATTTAGCTGCTTAATTTTAAATCTGGTTCTCAGTAAGTACATTAAAATATATTTGGTTTTTAAGTATATATGTATTTCTCTGAACTCAATCAAAGCATTTACTTGATGTTTGATTATATTCATTTTTTATTTCTAACAAGAATTATAGAACTTTTACACCAGAAGGGCTCTAAAAGATTAAATCAAATTTGTATACATCATGAATATGTTGTTTTATAAATAAAAGGATATAATTAAAATTAGTGGATTTCAAAGCATTGATGGCAGAAATAACTGTGTGCCACCGACTTGAAAATGAATGAGCCTGGGTTCCACTGTTCATCTGCATGTAATTAGGAAATTTAAGCCAATTAAAATTAGAATACCCATTTCACACAATGTGATCCTGACAAGAAAATATAATTCCTGTGATGCAGCTATTAAAGCCTTGTTTTCTTTTTCTGTTTGTTTTTACAGTTTTACTGATATGTAATTAACCTATAACATATTGAAGGTGTACAACATGGTTTGATATATGTATATATTGTGAAATTATTACCACAATAAGTTTAGTTAACGTCCATCATCTCACATAGTAAAAAAGTTTTTCCTTGAGATGAGAACTTTTAATATCTACTCTCTTAGCAACTTTCAAATATACAATAAAATATTGTTAACTACAGTCTGCGTGCTGCACATTACATCTCCATTTCTTATTTATCTTACAACTGGAAGTTTGTACCTTCTGACCATTTTCATCCATTTTGTACCCCCCCATACCCCATCTCTGGCAACCACCAATCCATTCTTGGTTTCTTCATATTCCACATATAAGTGTCTGTCTTGTTCTGTTTAACTTATTTTACTTATTATAATTCTCTCAAGGAGCAGCCATGTTGCCACCAGTGGCAGGATTTTCTTTTTTATGACTGAGTAATATTTCATACTATACAGGGTTTGGCAAAAGTAGGTTTACAGTTGTGAGTACGCGAAACAGAGTTTATTCTTGCATTATTATTTATTAATTATTGTATAATTTTTCATATGGTAAATGCTAAACTTACTTTTGCCCACCCCTGTATATATGCACACACATACCATATTGCCTTTATCTAATCATCAATCGATGGACACTTAGGTTGTTTTCATTTCTTTAAAGCTTTAAGTTTTCTATTAGTAGTTTCTATTATATCTAGTAAACATTTTTTATTTAAAAATAGTTGTTTTTTATACACCTAGGTCTCTAAAACACAAATGGCCTATAGTGCCTTTTGTGTTATTTGTGTTAGATATTAAAATTGCAGGTAGTGTGAGAGAGGATCTTATTTTTTTTACATTAAATTAAATATGGGGTATCTTCTCTTGAAAAGAAATTAGCAGCTGTAAGAAAACCTCAAAGACTGATTTCAAATAATGAGAGAAATTTTATGCAGTCTGGGTTATTTATGTATAATCAACATAGAGATTACCCAAAGAATCAAATCATAGAAAGTATTCCTTTCCCTTTCTTGGTTGCTCAAAGTGAAAATTTTCACCACATTTTTTACCACTTTCTTTTTATTTTTATTAACACTTTTGAGAAATCTAATTTTTTTAAAATAAGTGCATTAATTGACTGTGGTACTTTACAACTCTGATCTAGAGGTTCCATGCATCCTCTTTTTAGATGATGTTTGAGGTCAGAATAAAATAGGAAAGGATCTTCAATGCCTAGTCTTTCCACAAAATCCGTGATCCAAAATTCAGGATGGTGTCCTCAAAGAAGAGGATAAAGTCCTAACTTTGAGGTATAAACTTAAGTATTTCAATGTAAATGACAATGTGTGTGTCTCTGGTAGATATGACCTGTAATGTTATTTGGCTATTAGTTGTCAGATATTAATGTGAAACATATGATGGGGGTGCAGAGTACACTTTTCTAAAAAACAAACAAATGCTACTAAGACAAGCCATAATGGCATAATATTAACAAATTATCTTGCTTCCACTATTTATTTGACCATGTATTGATAGTTACAATATTCAGAACTCTGAGATTTTAGCCACTGAGGGAATACAGTTAAACCAGCTCCCTTCTTGTATGCCTTACTCATACTATACACTAAGAAGGGAATTTAGAATTAGTCCTATATAACACTGGTTTTGGGACATGGTGTTAAGGTCATAGCTATTATATGTAACAATAACCATGACTACTACCAAAAACTCACATAAAATGATTTGCTCATTGTTCATATAAATAGGACATATTCAGTTATTGCTGTAACACTGTCATTATTTTTCTTAGTTGAATTTCTTGTGACTTCTTGAATGAAAGATAAAGAGGTATCCAATGTCATGTAATTCTGAGGAAATTTATGAGAGTGAACTCCATATATAAGTAAGTTTTTTTAATTCTCACCTGAGGATATCTTTTTTAAGTTGATTTGAGAGAGAGAGGAATAAAGAGAGACAGAAACATCAATGTGAGAAAGAAACATGAATCATTGCATCCAATATGCACCCCTCCTGGGGATCGAACAAGCAATTTGGGTATGTACCCTGATGGGGAATTGAGCACACAACCTTTGGGTGTATGTGACGACACTCCAACCAACTGAGCAACCCGGCCAGGGCGAATAATCTTTAGTATACATGTAACTGTGAGAAAAGAATGATAGGTAGCTGCTGTTGTGTGTAGACTTCTACATGTGCATGAGCAAAAGAACTAGTTCATGGAGCAAAGTGTCCAAGGACACTGAAGTTGGGACCTAGCAAATGTAGTTTATTTGTTTCAGTGGAGCCAATTATATATTCACAGACTTTTCTCTTCTACCTCTTACCCAAGGAGAATGTTTATTTTTTATTTATTTCTAGTAGAATGTAAATTCTACATAAGTTTTGCTGGTATATAAAATGCTGTGTGAGTATCTACCAGTAATTAATTGCCTTTCATAGAGGCAGGTAATATATGGGAGTGAATTTATTGTTTATGAGTATATCAATGGTGTTTAAAAACTATATTCTGAGATATAAATCCAACACTGAAGTGTAAAATTGCTCCTGCAGGCTCATAGCCTGGAAAATGATTTCTTTTAATAGTTCTCTTCATTTAACAGTTCTTCATTTGAAAATGTTTCCTTTCAGCTGCAGATTTTGTGGTTTGGGGTGGTGAAGGGGAAATTAATTCCTTTGACACATTTATTCTTTTAATATTTATTTGAAAAAGTTTCATAGGATGCTTATATATTTTGCAGTTTGCAGAGAGATTCATTCTTTAGTTTTATTTTTTTAATGTTTATTTGTTTAAATAAATTTTCAATCCATGGAAGTGTTGCTAAGATTTCTTTAGAGTTCTTTGGGGCTCTAATGAGCAAATCAATAATGCTAATGTCAACCTGTGGGTTTTCCAGGGAGTCTGCAAGCCCTGAAACCACAGAAAAGAGTCACATCCCTAGAAAGAAGGAGAAATAGAAATTTTGTAGGACAAAAACTAACTAACCATTAGTAGATGTCCTTATCTATAAAGTTAATTATAATTTAGACCTTACTCTTATATAGCATGTACAAGAAGACTGGTTTGGGGATGTGGTATGTGGCCAAGAAAAATACATATCACTCATAGATTTGAAAGTAAGATATCTGTCACAAACATCTTGTTTTAATACTGAATATCACCAGTAACTTCGAACAAACTTTGATTTGTTTATATCAGGATTTTACCCAACCTAATGATGTGTTCTTACTATAAAGACACTTAAATTACACCTGTATTTATCACTTGCTCTCTGCCCATTTTATCCACAGTTCCAAAGACAGCACCCACCAACGTAAGTGGAAGAAGCGGAAGAAGGCATGAGTTAGTCATTGCCTGGGAGGTAAGAAAGCCTGTACTCAGATGTCAGAACAGGTTGAGTCCTTAGGAAATATGGCTACATATTTAGTGTCTGTACTTGGTACAGGGAGACTGAGTAATTTCTGTTTCAATGAGGTGAAGGAACACTTCGAGCATGCAGTGCTCAGATAGATATTGCCAACATCATCCTTTCTCATTTTCATACCAGGCCCCAGTTGACTTTTCTCCAAGTCTGTGGAACGCCTTCCTGTGAACAGGCTATCTCATAATAAAGTTTTGATTAAAACACATCCTCTTATATATTACTTCAGATGTCTGCTTGGCTTAGCTCAATATTTAATTATTTCAAGATTAAGTAGCACCCTTGACTTATTTGGAGTCTAAAACTAGTGGGGAGGAAGGAACTGACTTTGTGGCATAATGCCTTGCTTATCTCATTTATCCCACACAACAATCCTATTAGTGGGGATCATTTTCCTTGTGTTAAAAATCATGAAACTGAGGCAGAATTTAACTACTTTCTCTGAGAAGCAGTAGAATTGGGGACTTGGATAACAAAACTTACGTTCTTTTGTCTCCCTCACCATATGATCTCCGTTCCTTATCAAAGAAGTGTGAGAGGTGCATTTATTTTTCATGAAGCCACTTTCCTTTTTTGATGATAAATTACCTTATTATTCAATATAGCGGTGTAGCTCACAAAACTATGCCTTAGAATATGAAAATGGAATCTAAATGAAAATGTCTACTGGAGAAAACTAAACAAATTCCTGACACTCTAGGGACAATGATCAAATGTATAGAAAAACGTCTTTTCCCAGTAAGAAATTTTCCATGAGCACGCTCTCTGTCCTGCTCTTATGTCCATTCCCCTCTTCTTTAATAAAACGTTTTGTCTTGTTTTGATTTCTGCAGAGGAATTAACTTCCCAATATCTGAACTTCACCGAGAACAAATTTCTCTAAATGGAATTGCCTTCCCTGTACCCGTTTTGTGTCAAAGTCAGCTCAGGCTGCTAGAACAAAAATTGTATAGACCAGGTGGCTTATAAATGACAGGAATTTATTTCTCACAGTGCTGGAAGCTGGAAGTCTGCAATCAAGGCACCAGCAGGTTGAGGCCTGGTGAGGCCTGATTCCTGGTTGATAGTCATTTTCTCACTGTCCTCAATGGCAGGAGGCAAGAGAGCTCTCCAGTCTCTTTTGTAAGAGCACTGATCCCATTCATGCAAGCTCTTCCCTTATAATCAAATCACCCACCAAAGGCCCTTCTTCTTAAAGTATCCCATTGGGGGTTAGGATTTCATCACATAAATTTGGGAGGGATATAAAATTCAATCTGTAGTACTTTAACTTAATAGTCTTTGTCTCTTTTATTCCACTCAATACACTTTTTTCTCGAATCAAAATTCAAAAGAAAAAAAATTAGCAATTATTTATTGAGTATCTACAATGTGTTGAGTATTGTGCTAGGCAGTGGCTGGTAACTGTTCCATTCACTAACTAGCCAATCACAAGTACTCCTTTTTTTTTATGCGTAACTGATGCCTATTTAACAAATTTAAATATAAGCCTTTTAAGTACAGAACGTTTCTTGAACAAATACTATATTCCAATTTTTTCATGTGTTGGTAAAGCACAAAAGCAATTTAAAAAAACAGTAGAAGAAAGGTTTTACATTAATGTCTCCTAGATTTTCTGTGCTAGCAGCTCAACTGAGCATCACCAGTGACAAGAATTCCCGACCCCCAGATTATATGACACTTTTCCCCAACTTGTTAAATTCTAGTGTGCAATCCAAAGGCCTTCATTTCATATATAGGACTAATTGGAGCAAATTTGTTTCACTTCAGGAATTTTCAGTACTCTTAATACTTTCCTTAAATACCAACTAATATTATTTAATTTTTCATTCTTTACCCTTAAAAGCCTTTTAAATTTCCAGCAACTGCCAAGTGATTATGCTATGTTGGCTTTTAATCCTATATAATAAAAGGTTAATATGCAAATTGTCCCCTCAACTGGGAGTTCAACTGGGAGTTCAACCAGGAGCTTGACCAGGGGGCAGGGGCCCCTCCCCCTGGCCAGCCCCACCCCCAATCAGTTTCCCCTACTCCTATCAGGTGTGGGGCTGGCTGCCAACCACCCATGTCCCCTCCCCCAGCCAGCCCCACTCCTGATCAGCCCCCTTGCCCTGATCAGGGTGGGCCACCTGGACCTCATCTGTACACAGATTTGTGCTCTAGGCCTCTAGTGTACCATAAAGATTTGAGTCTCCTTTTCTCTAGTTATCCATAGTTTTTAAAAATTTAAACTTTTGGAAGAAGTGGATTTTTTTATTCATTATTTCACTTATAATTAATTGCATTTTTCTTCTTTAGCCAGTATCTGAAGAGTTTCAGAATGGGGAAGGCTTTGGCTATATTGTGGCTTTCAGACCCAATGGAACACGTGGGTGGAAGGAGAAAATGGTGACATCCTCTGAAGCTTCGAAGTTCATTTATCGAGATGAAAGTGTCCCTCCTCTTACTCCCTTTGAAGTGAAAGTTGGTGTCTACAACAATAAAGGGGATGGACCTTTCAGTCAAATTGTGGTCATCTGCTCAGCTGAAGGAGGTCAGTTTCTTTATCCTTACTTTTATTCAATATATTTTAATATTTTATTTTGCTATATGGGTGAGATATTATTGTACAAATATTATAAAATACAGATACACCAAAATGGAAATAAAACTCACCTATAGTCTCACTATACTTTTTAGATATATTTTTCCAAATAATTTTCATTTAACAAAATTATCATTCCATATCTGTTGCTTCATGTTCTTCACTTTCTAATGATATATGGCAAATATATTTCCATGATAATAACAATATTACTAATAGCTGTAGTGTATTCTATTCTCTGGATCGGCATTTAACCAACCATCTATGGTTTGAAATGTAGATAATTTTATATTTTAACCCATTAAATTTAAATAAATTTAAATGAAGAAACCATTTATATGAACAATAAATATGTGTATTTATGACTAATGTCATACACACCACATTGCACTGACAAAGAAGTTTCAGACAGGGTTTCCTGTTGGAAGGTTTTCACACGTGACATCTTTCAATCCCCTTGACAATGTTGCCTAATAGGCATTATTATCCCCTTTGTAGATAAAAGAAAATTCAAGTTCAGAAAAGTTAAAGGTTACACAGCTTGTAATTGAGAATAAGCTCAAGTCTGTGTAATCATTAAATCCTTGATTTTTCTGTAGCACACTGCCTTCATATGCTTAATCTCATGTAATTCTCAATATAAAACCACGAGGTAGGCAGGACTTAGCAGGCAGTAAACCCATTACTCAGCTTTCTTCATCAAAATCCTGGGCTTTGTCAAGTTTTAAAACAAAAATCCAACTTTCTGAGTGAGAGAAAGCATGATAGATCTTATCCTAAAATTAGCTTTTCTTCTTAGTCCTTCTATTCAAGTGCAAATTTTCCATTGGCCCTGAGAGTAAAAATAATGCCTTCCATTTCCTAAATTTGGCAAATGACTGAAAAAATGTTCCACCAAAGGCAACACTCACTTGACCTTCCAAATAATGATTGTCTTTCTAAACTGACCTTTTTACTTCCTTTGTGCCCACATTTGTGACTTAAAAAGCTGAAGAGAATTATTCATCTTTTTGTACTGGAGTTCATAAGAGGATATAAATAAGACCCTTTAAATATTGAAGCACAAAAGTAGGTTCTGATTTATGTAAGATGTAGTTTTTTCAAAACAAGCTACCTTATATTTGTCTAACATAGAGCCAGATTTTGAAGCAGAGGCAGAAAGTTTATCCTAGCATAAGAATGTATCCCAAGAAACTAGAAACACCAATCAGAAAGGATATATGCACCCCTGTGTTCATAGAAGCACAATTTACAATAGCTAAGATTTCTCTCATCGATGTTTCTAACTCTCTATCTCTCTCCCTTCCTCTCTGTAAAAAATCAATAAAATATATTAAAAAAAAAAAAAGAATGTATCCCAAGAAACTAGAAACACCAATCAGAAAGGATATATGCACCCCTGTGTTCATAGAAGCACAATTTACAATAGCTAAGATTTGGAAACAGCCTAAGTGACCATCAGCAGATGAGTGGATTAAAAAACTGTGGTACATCTACACAATGGAATACTATGCTGCTATAAAAAGGAAGGAACTCCTACCATTTGCAACAGCATGGATGGACCTGGAGAGCATTATGCTAAGCGAAATAAGTCAGTTGGAGAAAGATAAATATCACATGATCTCACTTATTTGTGGAATATAATGAACAACATAAACTGATGAGCAAAAACAGATCCAGAGATAGTGAAGCATCGATCAGACCATCAAAACTCAGAGGGAAGGTAGGGGAGGGTGGGAGTTAATGGGGAGAGATCAACCAAAGGACTTGTATGCATGCTTATAAGCATAACCAATGGTCACAGACACCAGGGGGGTGAGGGCATGAAGCAGGGGTGTGGGGGGCAATGGGGGGATAAGGACACATATGTAATACCTTCAATAAAGAATATATATATTAAAAAAGAATGACCAGGAAAGTGAAGAACCAAGTAATAACAACGAATTATAGATGTTCCAATGACGTACCCATGCACTTAATATCTCAAATGTCTGATGTGTTTCAGATAGAGCTGGTGGACTATATTAGTTATACTAACTCTTACAACCAAATATGAGGTAGGAATCTCAAGCCTCAATCTACTTTTCAGGAAACTGAGGCTCAGAGAGGTTAAGGAACATGCTCAAATTAACACCAGGAAGTGACAGAGTTGTAAGTGACTGTAGTTAAGTGGCAGACCTGGGTTTTGAACCTAAGTGTGTATGACTCCAAAGCTCATACTTTTAACCACTACCCTATACTATGTCATCAGGAATGTATATAATAATATTTTATTAATGTATTATGATTATTATATATAATAACATTTTGTATTATGTTATACCAAAAATCTATTTTGAACTACATGTTTTATTCAGGAAGTGCTTACTCTTGTTGCCTTAAAATTTCTTCAACCTAATCATCGAGCACATAGCCCCAAAGGTTACATAAGATGAATTTGAGGCGTTTGTGCACATGTTTTGTATGTTAACACCAGTGCTGCCATTAAGAAATCCAGAATTGTACTTTCCTTGTCAACTTTTGCTTTGAAATGGAATTATAGCAGCTACCATGGGTTGTTTACACTGAGTTTCCTTAAACTTGAAATGGTTTGCCTTTGGAGATTTCTCTTTCAAGCTAGATAGGAAATATGCATATTTTCTTTCAAAGACACTGAGGTTGTTACTGTAACATTTCATAGTAACATTTCATTTATTTTGGTAGACTGAAATATGAAAAATATCAGCAAATTAAATCTAGATAGAATCTGCCTTTGTTCTGAAACAAAATTCAAACATATTTTGGCACTTGTTCACTAATTAAATTTACTAATTTGGAACTTTGTGTGTAAATATGAGTAAAGTGTTTAGCATCATTAAATCATGTCAACTAAGAAAAGCAGTACAATGGGAAGGGAGAGCCGGTGCCTGGAGTCAGCAAAGCCCGAGTTCAGTCTGCTCACACGCACTGTGCGTCCCGGGCAGTTTACCCATCTCTCTGACCCTTACCTTCCTCCATGTAAAAAAATCAAAGTCTTGAACTGGAACATCTCTGGAAGCCATTACAAATCTAAAACTGAAATTTTGTCAACTTATTCTACATCCTAAAATATTCATTTCAATTTTTTAAATTTTCCCCAGGTTATAATAGACCCACTTTTGTTATATACTAAAAAGAAGGAAATCAACACCCTTTTTAAAAATATATATATATTTATTGATTTTTTTTACAGACAGGAAAAGAGAAGGATAGAGAGTTAGAAACATCGACGAGAGAGAAACATCGATCAGCTGCCTCCTGCACACCCCCCACTGGGGATGTGTCCGCAACCAAGATACATGCCCTTGACCGGAATCGAACCTGGGGTCCTTCAGTCCGCAGGCCGATGCTCTATCCACTGAGCCAAACAGGTTAGGGCTCAACACCCTTTTTTAAACAGTTGGCAAATTGCTTTACTTGAAGAGGAGTAAAGGTTTTCCAGACTGAGCCATTTTTAAAGAGTCAAGGCCTGTAATAAACGTATAAAATAATATTGGGCTCATGCCAGTGCAGATGCCTCCCTCTGCCTGTGGACGTTCATACAGATTCACAGCGTACCTTCGTCATCATAGTCTCGTCTGAGGCCCAGCTGATCTGATGGAGACTGTATTTCCCCATAAGACAAATTCTGCATGTTTGTTCTTTCATTAACCTAGTTCACCTGTTTACACCCTAAAATCCCTCTGTATTTATATACAGAATGAGAGGAGGGAGATGGCTCTCTAGTTCTGCTTATGGGCATAGTTCTCTCTATTCATATCAGAAATACGCGATACCTGCCTAGAGTTGACAGCAAATCAGGAAGAAAACATGTCCCCGATGCTGAATCAGAAGCAGCTAACAGAATGAATGTTGATTGGAGGGAACCACAGACCACAAGGACTACAAGACACACCTTACAGTACCCAGTTAGCTACCCATTTCCCGATGGCACATGGATGGCATCTCACATGCAGAACACACTTCCATAGGTGTTGATGTGCATTCCCTATACTCCCATCTTTCCATTTTCCTCTCAAGAAAGCTTATTTAAATGCAAGTAAGAATTACATTATTATAGTGAAAACCTTGAATGTGATCTGTTATTAAGAGAACTAATCATTTATACATGTTGATACTTAGTAAATCCCTTGGGAAATGCCTTGACTCATGACACTGAGGTTGGTTGTTGCCCTAGAGTTGTCAGAACGCTCCATGGTTTCCGCAATAGAAGTAACCCTGAATTGCTCCATCAGTGCCAAGCGGCATCTGACATCACTTCCATGCACACTGCACATCTACTGATTACCTATACTCTTTAAATCAAGCAAGACTTACATGCGCACTAACCCTGACTTGACTTCAGATATGAGGGTATGACATAATCCTATACAATACCCTCATTTTGGAAACAATTCTAATGTTTTTGAAGATTAGCAAAGTTTCAACAGAAGTGATATTAAAAATATATGGTTAGAAGTGATAAAAGTGATTTTTTTCTAGATGAAAAATCAGATTGACTTTTACTTCCATATTTCTAGACATACTTGTCAAACTTACACCCATTTTCCATTTAATTCTTATTACTGTAGCTTTGGAAAATGGAGATAACCTGAACATTCAATTACATCTAACAGAAAAATATGGAAAAAATCAATATAGATTAATTATAGATTGAAATATTTGTTTATTTGTGATGAGCTTTAGCCTTTTCTAGTGTCTTGGTGTATTGTGTGTGTGGTTTTTATTGTTGTGGTGTTTTTGTGTGTTTTCTTGTTTTTGTTTTATGCTTTTGTCTTGTATGTAGAATATGTGCTGCTTTTCTTTTTATTAAAACCAAAAACCTCTCCTTGTTTTCATAAAATCATATGCAATTATCTCCTTGCGAATGGAGATACCACAGCTCAAATTAAAACCCAACATTCATGAGGTGTTATTCCTCCAATCAGTTTTTAGCTGAAACTAAGCACAGTGGGATTTATGTGAACTTGAAAATTAATAAATTGGCATATTCATTGTAAAATACAAGAAATAATTTCCTGTCTTTGCCAGATGATCCATTTGGATTAGTGTCTGTAAAAGTTCAACTACAGCTTTTTTCACTGAATTTTTAAATAATGAAACCATAACCCTTTTCCCAAGGAGTTTATTAAACCCTCCTTTGATTAATGCTGTTACCCACTGCTCCTGGGAAGTCAGATGTATAATCAATATTACAAGCACAGCCCCCCATATTACTTGGAGAAGTCCTGCTGCTAGGTCACTTAATACAAATGTATCATCTAAATTCATGAACATGGTAATGCTGTTCCAAATTTTCAATCTAACAGGAACTGAAATCTATCAATCAGTCTGTCCATTTCCTATGCCAAGATTGGAGTGAAGTTAACCATGCCCTCATTATAGTATCAGAGAGAGATATCTTTTCAAGTCTTTGAGTGTATTAAATATAACACGAGTAAGATCTCAGAAATAGATTCTTGAATTTTCATCAAATTGCCTGAGTATAATAGAAGTGAGAGGTGGCAGGAAACATCCTGTGGTTTACAGATCAGGAGAGTTTTAGAGACGCGTGAATGTGACAGGATCTATGAGGAGCAGTGCAGCTATGATTCTAATTTATCAAAATTCCATAAAAGATTTTAAAATTTTATAGTAAGCTCGTGGCAGGTTAAATAGGAAATGTGGAGGTCTAGGTAGTTTCTGGCAAGACTTATAGAGCCCAGGTGGGGATCCCAACATCAATAGTCGTGAGGGAAGTCAGCGGTGGAAGGGCAAGGAGAAGAGAGAGCAATAACAAAGGGTGTGTGTTACACAGACACATACACAGAAGCAGAATAGCATAGTGGTTAGCCCTAACTGCCTTGTTCAAAACCTCTCTCCACCCACTTGCAGCTGTGTGACCTTGCTTATCTCTCTGCCCCTCAATGTCCTCATCTGAAAATAGTGACAGTAGGGTTGTTAGAGGCTCAATTAATACATATAAGAAATATGAATAGGGCTTGACACATGTCAAAGGCTCAAAAATTGGCAATTATTACCTTTGTTCTTGCTCCTTATCTATTTTGCTTGTTCTTTATTTTTTTAAAAATGTTTTTATGGATTTCAAAGAGGAAGGGAGAAGGAGAGGGAGAGGGAGATGGAAACATCAATGATGAGAGAAAATCATTGACCTGTTGCCTCCTGCATGCCCCACACTGGGGATCAAGCCCACAACCTGGGCATGTGCCCCAACTGGAAATCAAACCACTCAACCCCTGAGCCACATGGCTGTGCTGCTCTTTATTTTTAATTTGATTCCATTCATTACTCTGTCAGTTATTTGGAGGTAATTGGGCAGCCAGAGAGTGGATTATATATGTTTCCTATAAAATCTCTCTCCATGCCCCCAAACTGACTAGAGATGGAGAATGAGCCAGCCACTTCCTTGGTGCCCATTTTACAACAGAGGAAAGAACTCTTGAGACATGAGTTCTAGGTGGGACTCGTGCAGAGCTGGAAGCAGAGTTTAGATATGTCACATTTTTCCTCTGCAAAATGAGGACATGGGTTTAAAACATAGGTTTATAGTCCCAAAGCCTATAGAGGTCAGGTAAGAAATAGAAATAAGTGAAGTATTCTCCGTGTGATAAAACAGGGACTCTACTGAAAGAACATGCCCTGACTAATGGGGCCAGCTGCTAATTCTCATCTACCAACACCCAAGTATTCAGGATTGATATTACCTGTTTGTCGCCAAAGAAGCCAGAAGTTTTTATTTTTACATGAAATGTTAGAATAACTTAATACATTATTTAGGCAAAGAAAAGATGACTGGAGACCAACTGCCCTTCCATTGGGAGCTTTGATCCAAGTGTCTCTGGAAAATTCTTTCTAGTTGTGACCTTCCATCACTCAGGGATAATGGGATACCCAAATAGCTAGTTCCAATCCAACCCAGATATGCTGTGACCCAGTCATTTACTCCTGCCTACACACAAACTTTATTGTTAGAGCTTGAAATGATTGATTGATTTATAATTTATCTTTATTGTTGAATGTATGACAGATGTCTCCTTTTTCTTCCCATTGACTCCCTCCATCCCACTCTACCCCCTCCCAGGCCTTCAGTGCAGTGTTACAGACAAACTTTTTGATTCACACAAGAATATTCACTTGACTATAAATGGCACATACTGAAACCCTTGGAAGTAAACTGACTGAGATTATGATTTCACTTGCTGAAATTTCAAGTTTAGGTATTATTTTGGTGTAATATGTACATCTACTTCTGTTATTTACATCTAGAAGGTGAAACAAATGAAAAAAAATGACTCTTCAGTTCTTGATTTATTTACCCTTATTTAATTAGATGCAACTATAATGTTTAGCCTGCAAGAATGCAAATGTGAAATGTCAGCTTGGGTTTGACCCTGATTTAATATCCTCAGAGCTTATAAATAGAAATCAGGATGCTTGTTTGAGAAATAGGTTTCTGAATATTTATCTTTTTTTAACTTTTCTTATTTTTTACTTTTTTAAAACTTTCTTATGTCTGTTTGAGAAATACTTAAATTTGTGTAGTGCTACAGAAAGCTGATAGAGAAATACTTTTTCTAGACTTGGAAAGAGATATAAAAGCTGCTACCTAACCACATATTTTGTGCTTCTGAAATTATTTATCCCCCTGCAATCTCCTTTGACAAAGATGTAATTGCTTCAATAATATAAAAGCTGAAATGAGGCATTTGGCATACAAATCTCTGCAATGCATTCATTTAAAAGATAAGCAAAACTGCTTCCAAATAGCCAATTTACCCTGAGTGGCTGTCTTTGAAATCCGTAGATCATATCCGAATTCCTGGAGATCAGGGTGTACACATCTTAAGAACATGAGCATTTCCTTTCCTTTACTTGCAAAATCAAAAATCTTACTTCTGTTAAATAGCCATGAAAAAACTTTTTTTGCAAGCCTGCCTACATGAATTTTAGAATAAAATAGTAGAAGCTATCCCCAGAATTTTTTTTTTAAAAATCAGGTAAATGCACTAATAACAGGCAGTTGCAAAGTGAGATGAGGGAAACCACTAGCAAAAGTAAATAATAAAATATATTCAAAGAGGGACAGAATGAGAAATTAAAGTTTATACCATGACAGGAATTTATGTCAGCTTCCATGCAAAGATTAATGTGAATTCACCACAGCACTTTGAATTAGCACAATCATAGCATGTGATCTTAATGAATGCTTTACCAAAAGAAAATCATTCTCTGTGCAAACATGTACCTTTGAAAATCTTCTGTGGACTCCTTTTACAATAACAGAGGCAGATGTTTGATTGATATTTCTCAACTAATACTACGCATAGACTCTCCAAATAGATGTGTGACTACCTTCCATTGGAAATGGAAAAATCTCCACAAAAAAAAAATTTGTTAGAATTCTTTCTGTATTTCTCATATAATGACTTTTAAAATTTTTATTTAGAATTCTGTCTTTGGCATATGGTTACCTAAATCTAAAACAAACAAAAAACAACAACTACAAAAAAAACATTTTCAACAGAGTAATCTGAGCTCTTACCAGTGATATGGAGTTAATATTAAAGTCTCTACAGTTTTTAAGGGATAGTTTTTTAAATCAAATTCGTACAGAACTATTTGAACTAATGTATAGCCTTTATTCTGTCATTTCATTGAATATGTGTTTGTGACATAGTAGTTACGATTCCGCAGTGTCAAAGCTGAAAATATTTTTTTCCTCACATCAAGTGCAACCTGAGTGCTGCTCTTGATGGATGCCAGTCAGACATGGTGCATTGGAAAAAAATTGTGAGAAATGTCGCTGAGCATAGCAACAGCCTGGAGACCTTCAGGGACTTTTCCTTTTCGCCCTACAGTTGTCTTAAAAGTCAGCTCATGCCTTTTAAATACCGTGATTCATAACATATTCCTTATACAATCATGGACATGTGGTTTTGTGGTTGGAACAACAAAACAACTCATGTAATTTAGACTCTTTGTGCCTGCAACGGCTGAAAAAAATAAAATAATAATAAGTGGTATTTTGTGAATGAATATTTTAAGTACCAAGGACTGTGCTCAATATTTTGTATGTGTTATTCCAATGAAAACGAATCTAAAAAATCTCTAAGCTAAGTACTCTTATTATGCCCACATTACAAATGAGGGCACTGGGCTTAGGAAAAGATGAAGCTACTTGCCTAAAGGTAAATAAATATATAATGGTTTTGCATGCAAACAGCACAGGAAAAAAAAAGGCCAATCCTGACGCCTAGTCCATTCTTTTGATCATTATGGTAGATGGCAGGCAATGTAAGTCAAACAATTTAACTTCTCCAGAAATGTCCTAGTTAATCCAAGGACAAAGATCTTCTCTGCTCATCTTCCTAGATTAGTCATTTCTCGTTGGTAAGGTTTGATGAGACTGACCGAAGTATAGAAATCCAAAAAGATCGTCTTTTTATCTGGTGTTTTTTGGAACTACCACAGCACTTCATTGCAAAAAGACGGTGGAAAAAGTAACACCTTTGATAGACATTAACTTGCTACCATTGTGGTTTATTATTTCCACTTTCTTTCCTACAGAACCCAGTGCCGCTCCCACAGATGTCAAAGCTACAAGTGTGTCCATGTCAGAGATTCTTATTGCATGGAAACATCTGAAAGAGAGTCTAGGAAGACCACAGGGATTTGAGGTATGAACAGAATTATTGAAAATAGGCCTTGTTATTTCTGCTGGCATCGCATTCTCCTAAAGAGCTGGTTTGGTGACATTTTAACAGATTTACATTCCTTTGAAATTTTTCTTTGTGGCAAAGAATGCAAGAAATATACTATTTTATGGACATGTATTATGTTGCTCATTAGCTGGCTTATTTTTCAGTATGTTTCCATAGCACCATGCAAAGATTTTTTTTTAAAAAAAGACAGATGAAAATAGACCTATTTCAATAGCTACAGGTGGCTACTTAATGTTATCCAATTTATTGGTTGTTAAAAATTTTTTTTGTATATTTTCCTCTAATAATTAAATGTATAAAACAAGTCTTTCTACTATATCGTCCTTGGCAAATCTTACCCCCTATTGCTAACTTCTCAAATTTGTTTGGAGCTTTGTGATCTGTGCTTTTTTATTGAAATGACTTCTCATTCCTTAAATTTTTCTATTTTTAAACACAGTTATGTTGGCCTTATAATAGTGAAAATTTCATAACAATTCATCAACTTAATGAAATGTTAGCCTCCAAGAGTGTGGGCAGTCTGTGAACTTGGTTATTCCACAAAAACAAGATCCCTATTCCTCATGTATCTCTTGTTCTTGCCTTCACCAGAACTGGGGGTAGTGGTTGGGGGGTAATTTCTAAAAGACAAAAAAGAATTAGCATCCAACCCAAGATCTCAGTTGCCTTTAAACTTTTTATTTTTATTTTTGCTGTTTTAACCCCACTAAGAGAAAATCATCTTGATTTTTGAAAAATGATCAAGTATAGAACTTGTACACCAACACAAGCTTTTCCTTATTCTATTAGAGTTTTTAAATAATGTGTGAGAACTATTTAATTAATATACAGATAGCATTAAAAAACGATTACTGTGATAAAGAGTTTTTACAATATTTCTAAGTGACAGCAAGGACCATGTACTAGTATAAGGACACATTATCTATACAAAAATCATGGATTCTTCTCTATAGTCTTGCTTCAATTCATTATTTGGTGATAGGTAATTTAGCATTTATCTTATCATTATTGCACATTCATTTTATTAAAATCACTCTTTTTCCTATCCATGCTTCAGGGACCATGTCTGATCACCAGGACTGGTAGTACTTGGTTCATGGCACCTACAATATATATTTGTTGAGTGAATGAATATCTGCGCTTCACAATCATCTTCTTCTAATACCAATATAGAAGATATGGGGGTGTTCTTCCCAGCTCCCCTTCACTGGGCCACTGCACCATCCCCCAGCTGCTGTGAGTGCTGGCTAATGGTTCTCAGCTTCTCTCTGGAGAATTGCCCTCTCCTGAGGGGCACTGTCTTACCAGAAAAGTCACCTTCCCTACAAAAGGCAACCCAACCCAAGGCCAATGGCTGACTCTGACTGACGCTGGTTCCTTCCTCAAGGAGGAAACAAATTTATGATGCAGTTTATAATCTAGAGGGTTGCTGTGTGCATCCAACCAGGGCCAGATTACCTGGGACCACACTCTTGCTCAGCTCCCTCTTCTTTCACATTCTCCTTTCCTCCCCTCCTTACAGTCTCCTGTAAGCACTCTCACAATAAATCAAATGCACTCAAATCTCTGTCTCAAGCTCTGCTTCTAAGGAAACCAACCTAAAACAACTCTGTAAATATAGATCCACCTAGATCCCTCCATCGGAGCTTCTGGTGTGCACACTTTTAGAAAGCCACAGAGTGTATTCTGGTGTGTTGAAGAATGAGGATCCGGTCTCCTATAGGTCAAAGCCGTGCTCCTCTCACACAGCCAGTCCCTCTCCACCTTTGTTCTGCCTGCCCTCAGAGCATGACCTTCACTTTCCCACCATGATTTACCTGTAATAACAGTTTTCTGTGAGGTCCTGCAAAGATCACATATGATTTAGATTTGTGCACAATTCTTGTCTTCCTAAAAAATAAACCATTCATTTATTAATCCAACAAATATGTATTGAAGGTATACTAATACTAAATTTTATGCTAGGCATAAAACAATGAACAAAAAAATAAAGTCGCTGTTCTTGTGGAGCTTATATTGTAGTAGGGGGGACAAGCAATAAACAAGCTAACAAATAAGTGTGACATAATGTCAAGTGATGATAAATTCTGTATAGAAAATAAAACTGGATGTGAAGGTAGAGAGTGAAAGAGTCAGCTATTTTTAGAGGTTTGAGAAGTCACCGTTTCTGAGGTTTTGCCATTTGAGTAGAAACATGACCAAATGAGAGAGAGAAGCAGAGAGGGCAGCAAACTCAAAGGCTCTGAAGTCAGAGCATGCAGGCCTTGTTCAAAGAACAGGAAGGAAGAGATTCTGGTGAGAGAGCAGTGAACAACAGGGAGGTTGGTAGCATAGTGATGGAGAAATCGCCAGGACACAGCCAGGTTACACAGGGTCTTGTGACCTGCAAAAAATAGAGTTCAGATTTAATCCTAATTATGAGGAGAGGCCATTAAAGGGTGTTAAAGAGTCAAGTCAGGGTATGACATTTAAAAGCCTCTTTCAGTCTAGAGGGTAGAGAATAGACCTCAGAGATGACATCAGGAGGAACAGCGAAGACAGTCGGTACAACCTAGGTAACAATGAGGTTGCTTTCAACTAGAACCGTAGCAGTGGAGTTAATGAGAAATGGACCTTTTAAGATATATTTTGAATTGGAGGTGTAACAGGATTTGATAATAAATTGGAGGTGGAGCATTACCAAAGATAATTCCAGAGATTTTTGACCCAAGAAAGTGAGTGAAGGACATATCAATTACATATATGAGAAATAGAGAAGAGCACATTTTTCAGAGGGAAAAAAAATCAAGGATTCTGTTTAGATGTGTTAAACTTTGGAAGCCTTTTTATTTCCAGAAATAGTTGTCAAGTGGGTTTTGTGTTAAGAAAAAGGTTAGAGTTAGAGCTGTAGCTCTGAGGAGTCATCAGTGTATAGGTGGTTTGTATGCATGTGCTGGCTGAGATTACCGGGTGTTGATAGAAATGTCTGAGAATTGACCCTCTGGTGCCTCACCATTTGGAACTCGGGAAAGAAAGAGGATCTGGCCAAAGAAACTAAGGGAGACACTGAGGAAATTCAGAAGCCAAAGGAGGAATTTTAAGATGGAGTGAGCTTCTGAGTCAAATGCTGCTGGGAAACTCAGAAAGATGAGGCCTAAGATTGCCCAGCAGGTATGGCACACACAGACCCTGCTGACCTTGGTGCTCTCACCATGACTGACTGTAATAACAGCTCCCTGTGAGGTTTCCCGGAATGCTGATGATCAAAGGTTGACTGGAGAGCAGGATCAAGATCATTCAACAGTAGCACTCAGAAGTGTCAGAGCACAATGTTTGTACTAAGCCTATTTCATTCAAAATGACAAATTATCACAAGCAAAAATGGAGTATTTCTAAGGATCAGACATTAATAGGAAATGAATCAAATTCTAGAACAATCATCACAATGACCACATTTTTTTAAGTTAAAATAAATCAACTCAAATTCTGACAACTATTTTTACATATGGAAACAACAGAAAATCCAAGGGCACAGAAACATTTATGCTAATTTTATAGTGCATTATAAATTGTAGTTTTAAAAATATGGCATCTTGTTACCAAAACAGTCAATATCTTTTAATGGGGAAATTAAATGTATACTTTTTATAATCAGAAAATAATTAAAACTTCATATACTTCAGTGGCGAACTATGACATTAACTGTTAGTAGAATATAACCAGCAAAGATGATTTTTTAGAGACTATCTCATAACTGTATAGTTGCATGTAGATTTAAAAATAAGTGTGATGTAAGTAAAGCTTATCAGCATCATCCCCATCCTCTCTGTTCTGCATTTTCATCCCTTTAAGGAGAACTCTACCTCTTCTGCTCACCTTACCTACCCTGGAACTTATGGTTTTCATCATCTTATTATTTTTTTCTTTTATCAGTTTTCTTTTCTCTTAGTAAATGATCTCCCCAACTAAATATTACTAAAAGGTAATAGCACCCTAAAGCTTAATATTTCATCTCACCACTATCTTTCTCCTCTATTCTATCCCAACCGCAATCCTAGCTGTATTTACTAATGGTAGAATTCTAAGCATGGTGACAAAAAAACAAATTATATATATATATATATACATATATATATATATATATATATATTCCTATGAGTCATTTGTTTGGTTATTATTGCAGCTTTACCTGTAATGTCTGAAAGAGCTAGTTACTATAAAGGCACTAGGTGCCATTTTGAAAGGAGTGGAGGTGGTGTTCAGGGCCACCTCTCTTTTTTCCCCTGAATTGAAATGCGTGAATAAGTTAGAAAAGGTTCTACTCTTATAAATATTTTATTCTAATGGGAAAGACAAATAAAATATAAACAAGCAAACAAGTGAGTAAAATAAACTTAGATAAGAATACATATAGAAGTTCAAAGGTAGAACACATCTGGTTCCTTTAAGGAACAGAAGGAAGTGGAGCTACTGCACCTTGGTGAGCAGTGGTGTGAATGGAATTAAAAGTAGTAGGAGAGTTAAGTGGACAGAGACAAATTATGTAGGAATATATATGTTATAGAAAGAATTTGTGTTTTATTTCAAATGCAATGAAAAGCCGTTGGGGCAAATGTGTCTGATTTACATTTTTTCAAAACATCACTCTGGTTGTTATTAGTGAAGAATACAAGAAGGGGAGAAAGTCCAGGAGTAGAAATTAGGAGGTTATCACAATAATCCAAGCAAGAAATGATGGTTACTTAGACTGGGTCCTAACAGTGGAGCAGGACAAAAATAGACATATTTTAGAGGAAGGTCAACAGGATTTGCTGACTGATCAAATGTGGATGGAAAGGAAATGATTCCTACATTACTGACTTGAACAGATTTCCAGGTAAAAATAATTCTATTTTGGCTAAATTCAATTTGAAATGCCGATTAGAAATCTAAAAGAATAAGTCAGTTAAGCAGTAAAATATGTGAGTTTGGACTCT